GTATTGGAAGAATAAACAATCTCTCAGCCTGCATTCTCTCTTCACCCTGTCCCATCCTCCACACAGCTGTCAGACTAATCCTCCAAAAACAGCAATTTTCTCTTGCTCCTTTTCAGAAACTGGCTTCTTTGATTTCCTGTTGTCTAAAAAGCAATTTTAAATGTTTTTGCCTGGCATTGAAAGCTCTCCGAAATACAGACACTCCTAAATGTTTCACCCCTGCTAGTACTATTGCCACATCTTATTTATTTGTTCTTGGGCTAGTTGTTTGAAGGCGCATCCCCAAGTCCCGCCAAAGTCTTCTTGGCTCATTGGCTTACTGTCACTGTGATCTGTGAGACTGTTACTGAGTCCAATGCTAGCCTTTGGAGTTGCAAATCAAGAGCCATGTCTCTTCTACCTGTAGCATGGACTGAGAGTAGGTAGGGTGCCTATGCAGATGAAAACTCTGCAATTCTGTGAGGAGTTAGATGACCCAGGACAACTACAAAGCTCTGTGGACAGGATTTAATAAATATATTTTCCAAAAATGAGGAGATCCACATTTTAGTAACTCTCATTGGGTATTTTTCATCACACACAATTCCATTAAGAACATATAAAGGAAATTTATTATATGTATAAATATATATTAACTTATCTGAAAGGCAGAGAGAGAGAGAGTAGACAGAAACCTCCCGCTCACTGGTATTCTCCCAAATGACCACAGCGCCTGGAACTGGACCAAGTTGAAGCCAGGAGCCTGGAACTCAATCTTTGTTTCCTACACAGATGGCAAGACCCAACTACTTGAGCCTGCTACCTACCAGTGTGCTGGAAAATTCACCTGCACAAACGATCCCATTCCGAGGCCTTCAGAATCTCCTGCATTCTTGTATCCATATATTTCTTTGGTAGTTCTAGGCATTTTTTGTTTCTGTCCAACCCCATTGTTTACTGGGGGGTCATCTGATAAAATCTATACATCCTTTAAAATCAAGAAGTATGTAGTTTAGTGATATACTTTTTATCTTAGATTGCAGAAATTACAGTACTTCAAAAGTCATAAAGCAAACAAAACTAATGAATCAAATAAAATATATTTTGAGTTGTTGTATTTGAAGATAACTTTTTGGGAATTGTGATTATTCGTGAAAGACAGAAAACTGTTTTTCCTTTATTGAGTCTGCAGAGGTGTGGCCATGAAGTGTCTCAGAATCTGCCTGAAGCTTTCTTGGCGCATTTCAGTCTGAAGTACTTACCATCATGATGCTTTGCTTTTATACATTTTCAGTGCCTGCCTACCCTATACACATTTACTCTCTCCATGGTTTAAGTGTTCATTTCCCCACTTCTGTAGCAAAATAATATTTGCAAATCCCTCTTGATCATAATCTCCTTAGGAGTTAGGAACTTTTTATTTTGGTTTCCCCAAGGTTTGCATTTTGTTTGATACAAGGGGGGCAATGGAGATAAGGTTTTGAAAAAAAGATCACATTAAGGAATGCTACTAGTCAATCCACTAATCTTTGCTATATACAGACACTGTAATTAATATTAGTTCATTTCTTGTAACAAGGGCAATAGGAGGTTCTCTTTCCAAAGAAAGAACGAAAACAGAAAAGGTCACTGGTCTACTTATACCTACTGTGTGGTAGGCACTGATTTCAGTATTTTAAAATATATATTGTTTTCCTTAGCTGTAGGCAACTGCCTTGTACCTAGGCAAGTATTACTCTGCTGGGAGAAAAACAGCCAATAGCTGGTAGGTATTCTGGACCTGGTTAGTACCAACTTTGTGGCTATCTCTACCAGTGTGACAGCATAATTGCCTATTCTATTTCTTTTCTTTTCTTTTCTTTTCTTTTTTTTTTTTAAGATATGTGGAAAACACCTCATGCTGCTGCATGGAGTCACACTGCAGGGAGTGGGACACACTGTCCCAGCCTCCAGGCATGTCAAACTCCATTGTGTGGATGGGGACTGCAGATTGCCCAGGGAAGGTGTCTGGGGACATAGTGGAATAGGGGCCACCAAGGGTATGTTTGACAGGAGATGACATCCATGGACGAGACCATTACATTCACAGCTAAGAGAGGCACCTGAAGCAGGGTGGTTTTGAAAGGGGAAACTGGAGGACATGTCTGGGTAAAGCCAAAGCCTCTACCCATCAGAGTGATGGGCTGGGCTAAGTAGCATCACCCACCACCCACAGGCACACATGGAAGCTGGGGATTGGGGACATGCCTGGCAGGGCTAGGCCACAGTACATATTGGCCTTGGGGCAGAATGACCAGGTAGCTGTATCCACAAGTACAGGCATTAGCTTGTGCAGGTGACAGAGCCTGACCCTGCACTAGCTGGCACACGTAAGAGTCAAGTCTGAAGTCACCCCAGAAGAGGTATGTTGAGGGACTCCTCAAATAGACTGCTGGACTCAAACCCAGGCCACAGGGATATGTGGTCCAACCTTAGACTGCACATATTGGACTGGGCCTCCTCAAATTGTTGATGTTTGTACAATGAATAATATACACTGATGCACACAGGGAACTTGACAACCAGCTCATTTAGGCCAAGTGCTCCCTCCTACGTTGACCCTCCCCACCCTGATCAGAGTGTCACATGGGTATGCATCCCTTTCAAATATGTAAACAATATTAGAGATAAAATAAAAATAAAAATATGTATATATTGCTCCAGTGATTTTCACAATTCTGTAAAATCTTACAGACTCAGAACTTTTTTTTTTTTTTTTTGTTTAAGGTAGCATAACTTGGTGGTGACAAGCCCATGAGTCAAATCCAGCAAGGTTGACTCTATGATTACTCATCAAATATCTATTGGTCAGAAAAGGAAAATTGAAGATCATTCAGAGAATCATGGAAGTGTGGTGAGTATTGTGATGTAGTTGGTTAAATTGTTGTTTGGGACTCTCACCTCCCATAACAAAGTGCTTGATTGAGTTCCTGCTACTCTATAACTTCTGATCTAGCTGCCCATTCATGTGCTTGGGAGGCAGCTCCTATCACCCATGTGGCCTCTGTCTGGCCTAATCCCAGATGTTGTGGGCATTTGGGGATTAAACCAGCTGATGGAAAGAGTTCTCTCTCTCCCTCTGTTGCTTTCTCTTTCAAATAAATTAAAACCCTTAAAAAAAAAGCACAGGAAGCAAGAGAAATACAAAATGTAACACATCACTCCAAGATTCATGAGTGTTTGGGTGTTGTTAGGAAATGTTGAAAATGTCCATTTTTAGAATATTTTAAAACATTTTTTTGGGCAACAATAGAAGAGAGTACTGAAGGATATAATGTGATAGCAAATTGTGTGAGAACTCTTTGTAAATTTAGTGGGTGAAAATTATTTTTAAATTTCTTTTCTTCTATGTGAATTGCAAAGGCTGTACATTGCAAATGTAAAATGCTGCTATTTGCATTACATTTTAAAGATCCCAAAGCACACAGGAAAAACAAAGTTAATGATGAGATTCTGGTTCGAGGGAAGGAGGCACAGAAAAAATGGAATGAAAGGAAAAAATAACCTCATCAGTCTTCCTTTTTTTAAAAAAAAAAAATGATCATTAAAGCACACTTCCACCACACAGCTTCTATTTAATACAGTGAAGGATAAGCATAATCAGGGGATGAATTATGGGTTGCCGTTTTGAAAAGCAACCCCTCATCAGAGCCATGCCTGAAGTTGCACCGCAGACAGAGGGAACCCACCTTAAACATGTGGTTCCCGGCAGCCAACCTCACAAATTATTCCATCTTCATGTGAAGTACAGAGGGACCACAAACCAAACCTCAGAATGGATTCTCTGAGAAAATACCCTTAACAAAATTTCCCTTCCTATCAGATGGCGAATCAAGAGGAAGTTTATCCTCCCACCCACAAATTCAGCAGACCTTTCAACTAGGTTTGGCTCTTGTTGGGCACTCAGTGAGCACCCTCCTCTCTTGAATCTGTTTCTTCCCTGGGACACTCGGAGAGTTAAGACACTAATTTTAAATGTGCCATGGGCCTCCGGACGACTAAACAGATGGGAAGAAGTGCAAAGCCACCTCCTGGTCACCACAAGGGTAAGTAGACACCTGCCACTCTCCTGCCACCTTTCAGAGTGTTTAGCTAGAGGTTATTGATGGTAACTGGTTGATGATATTTGACTCTAACTACTATTCTTACCTCTTCCAAACCAATTTTTATGGTTGGATTTTTAAGTGCAAAGACAGGTATCAATTATTAAAATTCTTGAGAGATTCCTATTAAATTTGAATCGCCTCTAACATTAGGACTGATGATGGGTTTGATTAAAATGTAGCCATTTAAAATATATCCTTAATAAATGATTGCAATCTGCATATTTAAGGAAATAGTATAAATTCGCATTTACATTAAATAATTTGATTTTTTAGAGGACCAGGCAACCATTTCCTAGACAGTCTGTGTTTTTCTACAGAGGCTGTGAGGGTGCATCTCAAATCTTCTTTTTAAGGCCCTTTGTGTAGCGTTCACCCTGGAGGTCATGTAATAACTAATACCAAAGAACAATCTAAATAGAATTAGCGTGTGCCATCATGCAGAGGCAGTCTGTCTAAAGATGAGGAAATTGTTTAAATATCTGATCTCGGCCCAGGCCTGTGCAAGGTGAGTCCCAGCTGGGGAGTAATTAGAGCCAGGAAGGCAGGCGACCGCGAAGGAGGGGTGATTCTTCTGTCCGGGACTGCAGTTAGTGAGCCCCACAGTGGGATCCCGCGCAGGGAGACGTGGGCACTGGACAGAACGTGCACTCTGGACACAGGGGATGCCCTGTACCCTGGAGGGGGCTTTCTCTGTGCCCCAGCCAGCTGTCGCGGAACCCCGGCCCCCGCCCCGCGCCTCAGGAGGGAGGGCCGCGCGGAGAAGGGGCTTTGCCAATTGCAAGAGCAGGAAGTGAGCACGAGGAAGAAGCTGCGGAGCCCCGGGAAGAGGAGGTGGAGGTGCTGGTGGAGGAGGAGGTGGTGAAGGTGGAGGTGGCGCAGGGACGCGCAGAGCCGCCTAGGTTTGCTCGGAGCTCATCTTGGAAGAGCAGGACTTTCTATTCTGTGGTCCGGCTCTCCGGCCCAGACCCGGAGGTCGTCCAGCCCACTCCAACCACTCTCATCTGTCCCCATCCCGCCCCCATGGCTTCTCCGGAGGACCCTCTGCGCCCAGGTAAAGTGACTTGCGCTGCGTCCCCCACCTAGAGCGGGACCACAGATCTGGCAAGGCACCGGTGGCGGTGGCGGGGTGGGGCTGTCGGGGCAGAGCCTCAGCAACCCGAAGGGGTGCCCTGGGGCCAGCTGGGCTGCGAGTGGCCAGGACCAGCCAAGCTACAGCAGCCCCTACTCAGTGTGTGAGCAGCTGCTGGTCGGCTAGCCCCCTCCCCACGCTGCCTCTGGTTCCCCTGAGACGCACTGCCCGGTGGTCTGGCGGCGTCCCCGGCCTGCAGTGCCAGGTTGAAGCCAGACCTCAGAAACCAGTGGCAGAAAGGAGTGTAACAGGCTGTTGTCCTTGATTCTCCAGGCACGAGCGTGCTCTTTTCTCCTCTTCCGGTCTCCTTCGTTCTCTTTACCTGCTTTTGTCTTCTAGATAGTGAGCTGCCCTTGTAGCTGTTTTATAAGCTAGCATTCACAAAACCAAGAGGCTCATCCCACAACAGGCTCCCCTGGAGGCGCTGGATTTAAAAAAAAAAAAGCCTCTAGTTTTATCCTTATTTTAAAATACTGGATGTTTTGTACCTGAGGCCAGATCCAGATTTTCCTTTACTCTCACAACTTGAATTGAAATCTTCACACTTTGCAAGAAATTTCTTGTCTCTGGGTCATGAATGCCCGTGATTTTATTGAACATAAGAATGAATGAATTATGTATCCCCCAGGTTACGCTGGGGCTCATGCTGAGGTTGACAATGCTAGAGAGAGACACACAGAACCAGATAGAACTGCCTAGGTAAACGTGTTCCCTGTTGATTGCATTTCTTGAGCTTAGGCAGAGCACAGAGCTTGACTTTGGTGATTTGTGGCCTGACTGATTAGAAGGTAGACAATGTCTGAGGTGATCAGCAGAGGTTAAACCCAACAGTGAAACTGGCACCTGGAAGGGTCAGGGGAGTTTTCCAGAGCCATTAAGGAACTCTCGGAATTCTTCAAGTGACAGTTGCAGATGGAGCGCAAGTAGTCTGATGCCTAAGTAGTCCTCCCTGCATCCACCCACCCATTGTTTGGAAAAACACAAGGGCGCATAAAGAGGGAAAATCCTCTCCCACCCTCTCATCCCTGCTCCTACGGAAGCTGCCTCCTCTTCTGAGAAAGGAATTGACAGGGAGCCAAGAGAAGTTTTAGGCTAGATTTCATTAAGCAATGATGAGGTGGCTGAGGGAGTTAGAAGGGGCGGAGGATTCAAAAAGATCTTGAGAGAGACAGACATTGAATGGAATACAAGTAAAATAGGTACTGGGCCCTGAAAAATGGACTGCAGTAAGTGGGATGGCAGTTGAAAGGGATGTTGGGAAGCACAGCCAGGTGGTAGCATCAGTGTAGAAAAGCTCCAGTGAGTTGATAGTTTAAGGGAGGGCATCATGTGGGCAGGTGTGATCTTAGATGTCAGCAACTCAGGGTCTGTGATTCTGGGGATGCTTGTAGTTGGCTTGGATCAGTTTGATCAGTTCAGAACCAGCACATAGCCTACAATAAAAGGGATTTCAAAATCCCAGCAGCATATATGACTGTTGAATGAAGAGATGGTGCGATGGTAGGAGGGTATCCTATGAAAAGAATCTGTCTCTTTAAGAGGTAGGATGCAAACCTGTGGGTGACCTCTTAGGACAGAGGTGGGTTTGAGCATCCCACCAAGAGGAGGGAGACCTTTTGAGCTTGAAATCTTCCTAGCACTTAGCTGTTGAAGAGCGTATTTAGGCATCTGAAAGATGCTCCTAATGCCAGTTCCCTCCCTGGGATTCTACCAATAAAGGCAACATCCTTTTAAATACACACAAACACATGCTCAAAACACCTCTGTTTTTCCCAGCATTTCACACAGTATTTGCAGCCCACTGACATACCTACCCTTCTTCCATTTCTGTAATGAACCCACAGATGGTGCCAGTGTATGTGAACTTTTAGAGAAGAATATCTGTGTCTCCTCCCAAGACCAAGGTACCAGTAATCTCTGGTAATTGCACACTCACTCTTGCCTTCTGCCAACCTATTATCCAGGAAGTGGCCTGAATGATCTTTCAGGCACAACCTGATGTTGTTATTTCTCAGCTTAGAACCCCTCTCTGGCTTCCCAACCCTTTCTGTCAAACTCTTAGTCCTTAAATGATTTCCTACTTCGTTATTTTACCTGCCTGCCTCCTGCCCTGTTCAGCCTCCCAACTCTCCACGTAGCAGTCACATGGTTTCCTTTTATTTCCTTGAAAACCTTTGCAGCCACCTGCCTCCTGGCCTTTGCATAGCTTGCTGTGATATCTGGAATGCCCTCCTCCTCCCCCATTACTCTCTACCTGCCTACCAAATTTCAGATCCAGTCCCATACTAAACGCTCTCAGCACACTGTGTACCGTTCCTTTGTGACACTCGGCACAGTTTCTAGCTACCATTATTTTGGCCAATGTCACTCTCCCCCACTGAACTATATACTCCTTGACAGAGTCTAGGTCTGTTTTGCTTGGCAACTTCTCTCCATAAGGCCTGGCACAGTACCCAGCACATAGTAAGCCCTGGACAAAAGACAAAGCTTCAGTAAGTGGATGAGAGATACAAAATTTAACAGCATGTGCTCCAAGTGATGAAGGGAAAAAAAACTGTTCCTTTCCACAATGGTGCCTTAGAAACTTAATTCATCCAGTTAGATGTTTATACTAGTTATTAACTACTGAGTTTATAGTAGTATTGCCTTTTCATGGGAAGTTTGTTCTGAGATTTCAGTGGATATCTGAAACCTCATATATTCCTAGGCCATACGTACAGGTGTGTGTGTGTATGTGTGTGTGTGTGTGTATGTAAGTAAATCCCATATGCTTTCTATATGTACAACCTATGGCAAAGTTTCATTTATAGGGGCTGGTATTGTGGCATAGCAAGTTAAGATACTACTTGTGGGGCTGGTATCTGATATCAGAATTCCAGGTTCGAGTCCTGTCTGCTTTACTTACTATTCAGCTTCCTATTAATGCACTGCAGAGGCAGCAGAAGATGATGCAAGTGCTTGAGCCCTGGCCAGCCATGTAGGAGAAATCCCGGTGGAGCTCTAGGCTCCTGCCTTCAGCCTGGTCCAACCCTGGCTATTGCAGCCATTTGGGAGTAAGCCAGCAGGTGGAAGAACTCTCTTTGTGTCTTTTCCTTTCTCTGTAATTCTGTATTTCAAGTAAATAAATCCATTTTAAGACAATGCTGTAAACTAGGCATGTGAGTAACAACAATAACTAATAACAAAGCAGAACTATGACAATATACTGTAGTGAAAGTTATTTGAAATGTATGAATTGCTTATTTCTGGAATTTTCCATTTAATATTTTTAGAGTGCTATTGACTATGAGTAATTGAAACCACATTCAAAAAAAAAAAAAAAAAGAAAACCATGGATAACGTGGGGACTTGAAAAGTCTTATAAAAAGATGTATGTATACCCACACACATATAGTAAAAGTATTTCATCATTCCACATATGCTGATTCATTTTAAAAAGCAAATTTTTACACTGAGAAAATCCATAAGACTATTGTGGTCAAATGGAATGAAAACAGTCATACTGGCTGCAGTGGAGCTAACAATTCTCTATCTCTCCCACAGAATGAAAAAACAATCTGGCACTGAATGAGCCAGAATGGTTCATTTGTGTTCATGTGGATAGTACAAACAGATGCAAGTAACGAGGGTTTTGAAGGTCTGGCTTGACGAGGTGATACAATAATTGTTTTGCTGCCATGAGCTAAGGGCCCGTGGCCACAGAGTACAGAACATGCTTGTGCTTTGTTCTAGGATCTCGTTTGTCCTGCACACTATGCCCTGAGAGCCCTGGTCTTAGCCACCAGTTGCGAGGGCCTCTGTAGCAGGTCAGGTGGTAGGTAGTCTGCTCTCCCATGGAAGAGATGGGGTTACGGTGAGGGTTCTAAGAATGAAAGGGTGAGCTGCTCCCAAGGGCACCCATGTTTGAAAAGCTGGGTGAGCCAGTTCTTTTTTTTGGAAACCATCTCCCTTGTTTCCTCTCTGCTCCCCCTCCCTGTGGATTTGTCTTTAACTTTCTTACGATGCTTCTGTCTTCTCCATTTTGTGTTCCTTGGTTTCATTTCTTCCGCCCATCCTCCTTTGCCTCTCTTCAGTTTGATCCTGGCCAGTAGACTAAGACTGTCCTCCAGAGAAGTCTCTGCAGAAGTGGACTTTCTTGATCTCTGTACCTGTTCGGCCCATGACAAGGTGGGGTGCTGCCCAAACTAGAGAGAAATGCCAGTAAAACTGTGGGTCATTCCCACCACACTACAACACCGCCACTCGAATGCATTCATCAGCCTGAATACGGCTCAGGACCCCAGTAGTGGGAGTAGCTGTGGGGCCACAAAAGAGCTATGGTAGCAAAATAAATAAATAAGATAAATTAACTCTGAAATCACAGGTTCACAGAATGACCTTTAATTCTTCGCTTGAAAACACAAAGAACCCCAGTCTTCAGCTCTGAAAGCTGGAAGCTCTGACATGGTCCCTTTGTTTTCTCTGAAAGGACATTTTTAAAGGTGTCTGAATTTCTTTTGAGAAACTGTCGCTGGAAACTGTGGGCCCCTATGTAATGTGACTAATACAAGGAGCTGTGGGAATGTGACAGCACAGGCCTTCCTCAGGCATCCTGCCAGTGTTTCTGTTGCAGGCAGGATGCTGGTGATGCCTGGTTGGTTGCACAGCTCTCTGCTGTGCCTGATGAGATTTTGATTCGGTAGATGACATGATCTGAGTTGAGGAGTAGATGAGATTTTTGTATCTAGAGTTGACACTGGAATGACTAAGGTTTTGATGGAGATTGTCATGGGGTGAATATATTCTTCATGTAGGAAAGTTGTGAATTTAGAGAGGAAAAAGTGCACAATTATGCGTTGACTTGTCTCTCAAAATAATATGTTTAAGTTGTAACTGAACACTGACAGACTCGGAAATAGTCTTTGCAAACCTAATCAAATTAA